CAAAACTGGTTGATCCACTCTGAGAAGGTGCTATTTAAGAGACTGAGCTGAATACAGCACCTCAGACTGAAGAAGTCTCTCGGACGAGAGACGAAACGTTTCTACATTTTTTGTTGTTTTGCTTTGTTTTGGGTTTTTTTGAATGTCCAGAGGACCAGATTGAACTTTTTTAGAAGAGGGTAAATAGTTTAGCAAATGCATCTGTTTTTATTAATTTCTGTTGCAGTCTTTCGAGTAGAAAGATTATTAATTGTAAGATAGCATTACACACTGTGTAGTAATTTTTTGTTTAAACACGTACACTTTTTATTTTATTTTACTTACCTAAAAAAGACTTAACAGAAAACGGCTCAAAACATCCCTGCCCCGGAAAATAAATGTTTACACATCACAAAACCACCAAAGATCATGAATTCGAATGATATCCTCATTAAGGCTGAGTAGAAGCCCAGTCAAGTACATAAAATCATCCTTATTTGTGTATTTAAAATGTTTTAAAGGCCGGTTTTAACCAAGAGAATAGTGTATGGAAAATCAAACATTTTCTTAATTTTGCCAAACTGTTGCATTTTTTGATCGATAAAAATCCTTCTTTGTAGAAAACACTCAAACAAGAAGAGCACTTTGCACATTGGGTGAATATAAAATAGTCATCATAGTGTTAACTTTGGCTTCATTTACTACATCAGGCCATACGTTTAAGAGTTTAGTTATCATTGTCTTGGTATTTGATCATAAACCAATAGTTGCTACTGGGGGGGGGGATAAAATTGTTCGGCTCAGGTCACATCCCGTTTATATGTTGATGTCTAAACCTCAGGTTATTTCCCATCTGTAGTACAGACTGGGCTACTAAAAGAGTCTCAAAACACCACCAATTTAACTGGATAAAGTATTTCATTATTTTCCCTTTATAGGGGCCACACTAGACCTGAGCCAGTTTTCTGGTGAATCTAGTCCATCTGCTGGCAGCTTCCATTCTGTCCCAGCAGCTTCTGCGGATAAAGAGTGAACGGATTAGAAATTACCCAGTCATTCTATCAGTTCCTCGACACTGTTCCCTGAACCACACACTGTATCAATTTTATAGAGTACATGGCTACATAAGTGCAAATTATTAACCTAGTTTGTCAAACAGTATGTAACCTTTCAGTCACAAGGTAGTCTACCCCTAATACGAATGTAACCCGTAGGTCCAATAAATGTCATATCAATCAGTAGAGTCAAAATAGACAATTTAATAGTGGATAAATCATGTGGCACTTTAATTCCCAATTGTTACAACCAGTGCTGCTCATATGTTCCACAAGCCTACAAGTCAAAGAGAAGCTGACAAAACTAAGTGAAAAAGGCCACAAACTTCAGGTTCCCACACCACATGAGAATGGGTCAGGCTTCCTGGATGTAAAGTCTTGTGGCTATAAGCTACATCTGTTGTCACATAGGTGGATGGCTAAATAAGGACAAACAAAACAAAAATAAAGTAGTTAGTCTGCCCTTACAAGACTCACTCCCAGATCTTCTGGTCTACAGGCCATGCAAGGCCTGGGCGGACCACCAAAAAACAATTCAATAATCTCAACTCAAAAAGGACAGCAGGAAACGGTACATCTGAAACTATAAAGACATCAAAATCCAATTAATAACTTGACATACATTTATATAAAAACAAACTATACCTGACACGTTGTCACACCCACATGCAGCTGGATGTAGAAAACACTTTAAAATCTTGTGTGACCACACTGCGACATCCAAACAACACATAAGGAGAGATACCTGCATTAAGTTTTTAAAAACACCAGATCACAAGATAAATGTGATTTCTTACCATACACTCCAACAGCAGAAGCACAACCATCAGAGCTCTGACAAACATTTCTGAAAGGCCACACCTACTCCTTTATCTGCTTGCCTTTCAGTCAGTGAGGTGGAGCACCAACAGGTGCCACTGGTTACATCCCTCCCCTTCAAAATTCATCGGCGACCCGACGAACAAAAACACTACAGTTCATTCATTCACTTCAGAAAGCACAGACTTGGGCAGATTAAATGGGTTAGAATGCTGCCCAGCAGTTTTCCTTGAAGATCTACGGGGTTCTCTTGGGACATTTTCTACATTCAATTCATCTTCCTGGGAAGGGAGAGGCAGCGTTGCATTGTGTTCAGAATCTGAAGACCCAGGGTCCAAAGCCTCATGGGAGGGTTCCACAATATCATTTAAAATGACCCCAGATACATTTCCAACCCGTTCAACACTGTGAGTTTCCTGTGGCTCTGTGTGATCCTCCCAACTTACCATTTCATCAACCCCTCTCACAGATTCCCCTTCTCTAGGCTCAGGAATACTTCTCAAGTCAGCTCTATGCACCTGACAAAGTGGCTCACCCTGGCCTAAGGGTGCAATTGAATACACCACACCTCTCTCAGGGGGTGGATGCACTACCTCATATGGTGTAGAGTCCCAAAAATCCTGAATCTTATTTTGGCCTTTCACAGCTCGGTTTCTGGTATATACTAAATTGCCCGTTCAAAATTAGGGGCGGCCCCATCATCTTCATCTTTTAAATACTGCTGTGCTCTTCTGACCTCCAACCTTTTTTGGATAGTGTCATATGCAACAGCCAGGGACTTTTGATGTTCCATCACCCAATCTTCCCTGGACAAATCAACTAGTTCCCTTTCCACCCCCACCAAGAAGTCCACTGGCAAACGAGGTTCCTGTCCAAACATTAGAAAGTATGGAGTCATACCCGTTGACTGGTGGACTGTAGTGTTATAAACATAAGTGACCTGAGAAAGGTGTCGAGGCCAATAGCATTTTTGCTCTGGGGGCAGAGCTCGTAACAGGTCATAGAGTGTACGGTTAAACCGCTCACACTGACCATTGCCCTATGGATGGTATGGCGTAGTTCAACTCTTCTCAATCTTATATGTCTTACAAAGCTGTTGAACCAATGCACTTTCAAAATTTCGTCCCTGGTCAGAGTGAATATGACTTGGTGGCCCAAACAGCTGAAACCAATGCTTCACTAATGCTTCTGCCACTGTAGTAGCTCGTTGGTCCTTCGTTGCAACAGTCTGGGTGTACTTAGAAAAAACATCAGTCATCACCAAAACATTTTCTTTACCTTCTGTTGAAGGTTCCAGAACTGTAAAATCAATTGCTAATATTTCATGAGGGCAAGATGCTCTAACATGACCCATAAAAGTTTTAATCTTTGGCTGAAGAGCCTTGGAAACCACACACCTTCCACAAGTTTTACACCACCTCTCAATGTCATTATACATATTTGGCCAATAATACTGTACATGGACCAACTGAAATGTACGTTATATTCCCTGATGGCCATGATTGTCATGAAGGGACTCAAAAATACCTTTCTGCAAGCACTGGGGTAACAAAATTTGGTTAGCTTCCTTACCGCCATCTGGAGTGTAAATGAGACGGTACAACAGATTTTTCCTCAAAAATGCACCCCCACTGGCGGACCAATTCCCTGGTGCCTCTACTAAGATCTTTCCTTTCTTTTACATCTGGCATCCTGGCTGCCTTCCAAAACTTCAAAAAGGGACCAATTACTGGATCCTGCTTCTGTAAGACACAAATGTCAGATAATGAACAACCAGGTAAGGTGCCTATCTCTGACTGAACCACAGGCTCACTATAGCCATGTTCCAGAAAATCACGTACATCAGAAACCTCCTGTTCCATCATTGGATGTTGCCGGGACAGAGCATCCGCATTTGTATTTTGTGAACCTGGGTGGTACTTCACATCAATATCAAAAACTGCCAGCTCTGATACCCATCTCTGTTCAGTTGCGCCCAACTTAGCTGTCACCAAGTGACTCAAAGGGTTATTATCTGTAAACACTGTGCACTTATGCCCCAATAGATATTCTCTAAATTTTTCCGTAACTGCCCATTTAAGAGCCAACAGTTCAAGCTTCGTAGAACTGTGTTTCTCATGTTTCGCTCGGCAGGCTTCAAGCTTCTATTAGCAAAAGCTATGGGTCGCAACCTACCTTCCTCCTCCTGAGAGAGCACAGCTCTCAAGCAAGCATGACTAGCATCAACATCTAGCACAAAGGGTTTCTGAAAATCTGCATAGTCAAGCACCGGTGTTGAAGTTAAGGCAGCCTTAAGCTTATGGATACTTTGGTCACATTCCAAGTCCCAAGACTCTGCCAGCCATTTTAGAGGAGTTTTGCCCTTTCTACTTGGAGGAAGAAGCTTGGAAACTAATCTGTGCAAAGGGGCCGCCATGTGTGCAATTCCAGCGATAATTCTTCTATAATAACTTGCGAACCCCAAAAATGAACGAAGCTCTGCTAAAGTGCTTGGCTCTTTCCAGTCCTGCACAGCAGCAACTTTATCAGGGTCAGTAGAAACCCCTTCTGCTGATACTACGTGGCCTAAATACTTCACTTGCTTCTGAAAAAACTGACACTTTGAGAGCTTCACTACCCATGTTCCTTCAGTCGAGACATTACTTCTTCCAACCGTTCAAGATGTTGTTGGACTGATGAAGAAAAAACTATTACATCATCTAGATACAATAACAATGACTGATGTCGACAATCCCCGAATAGACGCTCCATAAGGTGCTGAAAAGTACCCGGTGCATTGCATAATCCGAAAGGCATACGATTAAACTCAAATAAACCAAATGGAGTACAAAATGCAGTTTTAGCTTTGTCTTTCTCTGCCATTTCTACCTGACTATAGCCACTGGCCAAATCTAGTGTAGAAAACCATTTGGCTCCAGTAAGAGCATCCAATGTTTCCTCTATCCTTGGTAAAGGAAAGCATATTTTCTTGTCTTTGCATTCAACTGTCTGTAGTCCACACACATTCTTAAACTACCATCTTTCTTTTGAACCAAAACAATGGGAGATGAATATTGGCTCCTACTTTCTCTTATAATCTCACCTTGTAACAGCTGTTTGATATGACTCCTTGCCAGTTCATACTAGGGCTTTAACAGACTACTCGAGTAATCTACACATCAATTCCTAGGATACCTATCGAGGTTTTTAATTTCACGTTGAGTATTCGTGGTGACGTCATTATGCCGCAGTTACGTCATTGCGTCACGTGTCATGTGATCCGCACCAGTGCGGGTTACAAAATGGATTTCTTCAAGCAGACGGATGGAGCAGAGTAGGCCCAGTCTTGACAAACAGGTGGAAATGCATCAATAGTCTAGAAATATTTCACTAAAGATGAATCTTCTAGTTCAACTACCGTAAGGAAACAGAAAATGAAACAACTTCCTGACTGTTTGGAGCTCGTTGTGAACTGGTGATACACCATATTTTGTGACAGTAGGGGGCGGTGTTGCACTGTTGCAGGTCACAGAGTATGGTGTAACACCGGGTCCAATCTACCGAACCAGCTTCCTTCTGACATTGTTTCACAAACAAAAAGCAAAAAATATTAATCTCTAAACCTATTTAAAAAAAATCTATAAACATATTAATTTCTAAAACTAAACTTAATGCACACCACAGCTGGCGGTGGTGTGGGGTGGGATCCCCACTGTTTTTAGTTTAGTTTTTGACGTGCTGCACGTTTCTTCACGTTTGCAGCTTAATAATAACAACTAATAGTTTAGTTTTTCCTGTGACTTATTTGCTGTATGATAAATGGTAAGAGCATAATATATGCTCCCAATGTTTTGTTGGTCTTTTTTTGTAAATAATGACCTTTTTTGCGGTTTTATTTGTTTATTTTTGTATCTTTAGATCCTATGATGTCATCAAGTACTCGAGTTCTACTCGAGTTTTATTATGTTAATGTCGAGTTTAAAAATTATGTAGTCGTTCAGCCCCTAGTTCATACTGAGATGGGGGAATGCGTCTGTACGGCAATTGTACTGGTGTTTCATCAACTAGAGGGATCTCGTGCGCAATTAATTTTGTACAACCCACATCCAAATCATTTCTAGAAAACACATCACTGTACTTTAATAATAAAGAATTTGCCTCTTCTTTCATCTTTTTTGAGATTCTCAAATTGTGGTAAATCCAACTCTGGCTTACCACATACAGCTGTAAGGTAGAAATATGAACTGTACAACTCTCCATCTCCACGGACACATTTATTTGTGAATTCTCGTCATCCAGTACTTTTATAGTTTGAACTGTGGCTATGACCCTACGAGGTGTCAGCCACACATCTGTTTTACCCACATTGGTGACTGGAACATAGGCTGTGCCCCTTTCTCCTTAAATCAGTGATGGTGACACCAAGAGACCCTCGGGAAGACAACCAACATCAGGCCCCAGGGGTTCAACAAAAACTCCACCGGTTCATGCACAGGCAATTTTGGACAAGTTACTAGAATATAAGTCAAAGTGTCAGCTTGAACACAAATACCTTTCTTCCCCTGGAGCCTGACAAGATTAGGCTCTGAAGAGTTTGTCATGGCATCCATCATTTGGCAACATCTCGGGGCTCTCCTCCAAATCTGTGGGGATGTTCTTATCACTGGAGCATCCCATAGATCAGAACCATATTGCTCATTAAGTTCACAATATAGAAGATTAAGTACATTCATTCCCAATACCCCAGGAACAATTGTCTTTCTGCTTTATGTGAATATCAGATGGATCCTCTACCACCAACACCCCACGACGTGGTAAGTGCACCCCCAGAATCAACATATCCAGCTCCACGTAACCCAAATAAGGTATTTTTAAGCAATTCGCTGCTTTAAGACCCAACCAACCACATTCCTTCAGTCTTTTCTCAGAAAAATGATCCCTAAAGAAACTCTGTTATTGTTGTAACCATTGACCCCGTATCTAAAAGGCATTGGACAATAACTCCACCCATGTCAACTTCAGCATCCAAACACTCCCCCACTAATGCCCCTTTTCCATTAGTACCTGTAGTACCGGTATAGCACGGCTCTACTCTACTCGGTACGTTACAGGTTGTGTTTCCATTATGCTTTCAGTACCGGTTCCAGTGGGCGGGGTTCAAATTGACGTCACCACCTCTCACCAGCTGGTGGCGCTGAGACGCAGAAACTGTTTTCAGTACAGGTTGAGAATTTATGTTATTTTGAAGTTGTGTGTATGTACGTATGCATGTATGTGTGTATGTACATGTGTATAAATATATAAATATATATATAAGTATATATATATACACACACACACAAATATATATGTACACACACACAAATATATATGTACACACATATGTGTATATATATGTGTGTGTGTGTATATATATATATATATATTTATATCATATGTGATATATATATATCATATGTGATATATATATATATATCATATGTGATATATATATATATATATATATCATATGTGATATATATATATCATATGTGATATA